TGGTCTTTTTTTGTATTTGGTTTCTATTGTTTTGTTTTGTTTGGGGTTTGGTAATCAGGCCTAGCGCACGGTCAGATGAACAGAAAGTGTTTCTATGTGACACCCGTGGCGAGAAAACATCTGGAGCTGAGGCAAGGGTCAGGTACGTGGGCGACTCCGCCCACCCGGGAACTTAATGAGGATTTCTCACCTCACGTAGATAAAAAGGTCCTCAAATCTGATCAAGACACCACCATCTCTTGGAAACAGACAAACGAGAATCACCGTCAACAACTTCTGGGTTCAGGTAAGTTTTTGTAACTGCTTTTTTTTTCCATTAAGTAACATAGACATGTATCAGACGAATCGTCGGCTCTGAATGATCGGATCTGAGCAGATACTGAATACACATAATAATATGTTGAACCGAGTAAAACAAAACTATAATTTCCCCCATCTGAAACAACAAATTTGAATATCATTACCACTATCTTTCTTAAGATACATGTATTGCTGGCCTTCTATGAGTACCAAGTAATCCGAATGTAGCCTTGATGGAAAAGAAGGGAGTTCACCCCCCCCCCCCCCAAAAAAAAAAAAATCCTGTTGGGATGCTATTTTATAGAGTATCTGTAATTTCTAGTTTTGCATCCAGTAGCTGGATGACGATTGGGCGGCACCTGCGGTTCCTACCGAGCGGGGACTTCAGAGCTGGTTCATGAACCCTCGTAACGATGTTATCTAAGGAATGAATTTTCTTTTTCTTTTCCATTATTTTTCTTGGGATATTACAGCTGCGGTTTCCCGTTTTCTACTGCCACTTTGTGTACAGTTTTTTCTGCTAGCCTTTGTCATCCACTGACAACCCACAAGGCAGTGGGGGCTTTGGTAGAATTTATGACGCCTCCCGTCGCCAAGATGGTCCCTTCTTCGAGTGTGTGAGGTTGTTGTTTGATGGTGGGTTGTTTTTTGTTTGTTTGTTTGTTTGTTTGTTTGTTGTTGTTGTTGTTGTTGTTCGGTTTTTTTTTCTTAACGAGAATCCGAGCAAAGGAATGAATGGAGAACCGATGTCTGTTGCAATCTGGCACTGGATAATGATGATGTCGATGATCTCTATTGTGGTTTCAGTAAGAGCTTTATGAAACTTGCGACTCAAATAGGTCGTATAGATGCCGAAGATTAGAGTTGATGCTAGAGTCACTGCCACTGTCACTGGTCCCATAATCCACGAGAATCTTAGGGGCACAGTACGACAGAGAGCCTCGTCAGGTGCCACCACTTTGGTACTAGAGGATAGCATACACAGCAAAGGATGAGGCAAGATAAGGACGATATATTATGTTTGATAGATGAAAGAAGTAGCAAACCACATCAAGGCACCCACCAACCACTCACACAGTAACTCAGTTTATCTACTAGAATTCTGATCTCAACCCTGGTAGGCAGAGTCGAAGATATTAATTAGCTATCATCTGATTTATATTTTTTTAAAGTTTTAGTAGAGGTATTACGGCGCTCGCAACTGTATAAGATCTTCTGATTTCTACTTTGTGGATAGGGCGTAAAGCGTTTACAATCAATCATAAATCGTAACGAATAAGACCGAGGAACAAAAGTAATTGCAATAATATCTGTTTTACTCCATCGCCTGTTTCAGTTCTGGTGTGTCTGGCTATACCTTCCCGGAACCAGAAATATCTGGGTCTGATTAAGTGAGACCATTGGAGTGGTCTGCTTCGTATACCTCTTTTCATTATCAATATTGCCCTGTGGGGAGGCAGGTGGTTGAATGGCGCCACTAGCAGTTCCTATTATCGTATGTTCCGTTCCCTGTATCATTTCATCTGTCAAAGCTTCCTTTAGACCTGCACTGATTGACCTTTCTCATGCATGTTGACGTGTGTCTCTGTCCTCACTCTCCGGCTGGAAGAACCAATGTTGTTTGTGCTCGTTTCAGATTTGTTTAAAATACTCGAACAACCACGTTTTACCTTTGACTTTCAGGAAAACTTTCATCATGAATCTCAAAGTGCTGATGTTTGGCATGGCTTTGACCTTGTTGGCCCTGAGTGCCATGACCTTGGCACAAGAGGAAGCTCGAGGAGATGATGCAGTGGCTGATGACGAAGAAATTGGGGAGGTCACAGAAGATATTGAACGTACCATGGACCTGCTCGCTGGGCTGTCCCTTACCAGACGTGCTACTGCTACGACCACCACTCCCAAAAAGCTAAACTGGGTTGGCAGGGCCAAAAAGACATGGAGGAGAATGAGACCAAGAATCATTAAGGCCGCAATCAAGGCTGCCCTAAAAAAGGCGGCAGCGATATATTAAGTCACCAGATGAAAATAGAAACATTGTGTTGTATTTGAAGAACGTCCGCTGTATCCGAGAGTAAGAATATCGCTACGTTTTACTTTCTGATGGAGCATTTCAAGAAAACAATAAAAGCAAAATGAAATATACTTTACGAGTTTATTGTCTTACTACACACAGACGTGATATATGGAGAGCGGAACCAACACTGTGTGTGGCGGGGGTGTAGGGTTGGGGGAGGGAGGGGTGTTGTTTTCTTATAGACCAAACCCTTTGTTTACAGACCTGACTGAGTGAGAGACAGGAAGAAGACAAAGAAAAGGCAGAGAAAAAAGTGCCTCGTCAGAAGAGTAATAGCTTACTAGAGGCATCTTAACGAGGGGAAATGTGAACTCCTGTCGAATGGTGGGGG